TGCTTGCTGGCAGGTGACAGGCTTTTCTACTCAGGATGTGGCTGCTTTCTAAAGCAAAGTTTAGAAGTTTGCACACCTTTTGGTTTGATGCACCTGGAAGGTATTTAACAGATTTAGGCCCGGTTCACACCTGGCGTTTTGTAGCGCGTTCCTACGCTTTGCAAAATGCTCAAACACCGAAATCCCATTATTTCCGATGGGTATGGTTCACACCTGGGCGTATTACAGGCCGTATGAACGTGCTACAAAACGCCCTACACCCAAAGAAGTACAGGAGCTTCTTTGGGGCGTTTTTGTCGCGCGTTTCCATTGGGATAAAGCCAAGTAGCCCTCGGAAACGCACGTTTGTTTTTTTTTTACTGCGAATCGCGCGACACAACGCGCATATTCAATACGCCTAGGTGTGACCCCAGCCTTAAATTGGAAGTTTGTTTGGGCTTTAACCCCTTAAGGACCAAGGACTTTTTAAAAAAAAATGTTGCACCCATGTTATAATCCACATTTTAGGCATGAAAATTACTTAAAACCCCCAAACATTATACATTTTCTGAAAGCCAAGACCCTGTAGAATAAAATGTTGGCAGTTGCAAATTTTTATGTTGCACGACATTAGCGCAACTTATTATCAAACCCAAAAATGTTGTGAAAAATGCAATTAAGTTAACCTCTTGCCGTCCGCCCGTTAAGGAAAAACGGACGGACGGCTGACTCCTATCTGCGGGTTGCCATCGCCAGACGGCATTTTTTTCCTGCTCGCGCGCGCCCCCTAGCGCGCGCGCACGGGCAGGAAAGACCCGCTTGTTTCACATACAACCGATCAGCGGCTCTATAGCCCCCGATCGGTTGTATGGCGGGAATTTCGGGGCCCCCCCCCGCGCGATCGCGGGTGCCGCCATCTCCCCCCTCCTGACCCCTCACCTTTAATCCCGGGATCCGCTGCCCCATCAGCGGCCCGGTACCGGCTCGGGAGGGCATCAGGAGGAGGAGGGAGGGAGATCAGCTCCTTGCTGTTCTCCCTCCGTAGTGTGAATGCAGAAGTGATGTGTATTACATCACTTCCGCATTCACCTGTCAGTCATCTGGCTCCTATGCCAGATAGAAGAAGCTGATGAAGCAAATCTGTGCTTCATCAGCTTCTTTTGGGGTCTCCAGGTGACATTAGGGGTCTAGAGACCCCTAATGTCTCCATAAAGAGGACCTGTCAGTGTACCTGTGCTATTATATAGGGGGATGGTATCCCCCTATATAATAGCAATAACAATAAGTGTAAAAAAAAAATCTATATAAATAAAAAAAGTTAAAAAAAATAAAAGTCACAAACAAAAAAAGTTTAAAAAAATAACAGGTCACAAATAAAAAAAAGTAAACCACCCCCCCAAATGTTTAAGTACCCCCACCTTCGTTTACGCACATTTAAACGTAAATATGCGTCGCATGCGCCAGCACGCGAAAATGACAATTGCGCTACACGTTACATATCGCCGCGAACGTCGCAGTGAAAGCAATCATTTTAGGGCCATCAATCACTGATAACACTAAACTGATGAGCGGTAAAAGCTTTTAATGCGTCGCCTATGGCCAATTTTGGGTAATTTAGTTTTTTTGAGGTTTCGCGGGCGTGCGCAATTTTAAGTCTTGACATGTTTAGTGTCTCTTTACCCGACTAGACCCCGTCTTTTATATTTTACCAAAAAATTGGGAAATTATAAATGTTTTAGAATTTAATATAGGGGAAACTGTTTTTTTTTTTTTAAATCTGTAATTTTTCCTTAATATATAAAAAAATAAAAACCCCAGTGGTGAATAAATACCAATAAAAGAAAGCTCTATGTGTCCCCAAAAAAGGGTATAAAAAAAAATGGCCTGGATGGGAAGGGGGTTTAACACCGCGGATGTCAACTGGTTAAATATAGTGCCCCAAAACAACGAGTAAATAGATACCCAACACGCCCAGGTAAAAAATTGTGCGCCTCCGTGAAACTGCGACAGAATTCAGTACCCCAAAAACTCCATACACACTTTAAAAGCCCCCACAGGTCATCATTTTAGAGATACATGTAAATATTGGCCCTAGCACTATTGCTCTCACTCTGGCGTGCGTGGCGATACCCAACATGTGTAGCACAATCGTCTTTTTCTTATGTAGGTGCATCCGACATGTGTTTACGTGACAACGTGGGGGACTTAAAATGTTTTTATTTTATTTTTACATTTAATTTATTGAATATTATTTTAAAAACTTTATTTGTTTTTTTTTAAACTTTACTTTAATTGCTATCACATAGGGGGATTACAATCCCCCCATGTGATAGCATAATGGCAGTGACAGGTCCTCTGTAAGGTGATGCTGGGGGTCCAAAAGACCCCCAGTGTCACCTTTACACTTGAAATAAGCTACTGAAGTGCAGATCGCACTTCAATAGCTTATTGCTGGGCTTCAGGAGCCCAGCACTGACAGCTATGGGACCGGATGTGATGCAATGCACGTCGCTCCCGGTCCCATAGTACGGTTAGGGGATCGGATGTTTGTCGCTCTCCTCCCCAGCTTCCCGCCGACACCCGGCATGCCGATCCTGGTCCCAAAGGATGGGCAGTGGAGCCCGGGAAACAAGACGGGGGAGGGGGCTGCCCGGGTTACCGAATCGTAAAAGCGACCTGGTGGCAGCTGAGCTGCCAGAAATCGCTTCTACTGTAAAGCTGGTCGCCGGCTCTACAAAACGGTGGCTAAAAGCTTCCGGGAGTCTGTGTAACCCCTTCAGACTTCATGATGGGATTATACTGTCATAGGTCGTGAAAGGGTTACCAGATCAAAGAGAACAAATAAGAAAAGTTTATTATTAAGGTTTACATACATTTTAACATTCCCTACGCCAATCGAGTTTTGGTTTATTTCCGTTTTGGTTGTTTACCTTCCTGTTCGCAATCTTGTGTGGTTTGCACACTGAGCTGTGTTTTCGCAGTTTAGTGTACAATCCCTGCCGCTGCTAGGTGCTGGGATGAATGACGTCACATGTGAATTCACGGGAGTTACATCATTCCAAGCCAGCCAATCAATCAATACGGCTAAAAATGCCGAAACCGGAAGGGGAGTGGACAAAGATGTCAATGTTGGCAAAGGAGCTTGTAGAGGTAAATTTAGTTGCTCTTCAGCCATAAAGTCACATGTGTTGCTCTCACACATAACATGGTGGCTACAGAACTATGTAAAACACACACAACTAAAAAACTTCAGCCTCCAACCTGCTTAAATGAGATGTCCCATTGTTTTCAATGGTATTATATGTTCTTCAATTCATTTAACTTATTACAGGAGATCTGTACTGAAAAGACACACAGACTGCTATTAATGAACTATCCTTTTGCAAATGCTAGTAGACCGGCTGTTAAATTAATCCAAACACTTCAATACATTGCTTGATCAAGTATGTAGGTCAGAATTTCTGAATTTTATTTGACTTCACTGGATGCATTCTTGTTCCAGGTCAGTGATTTAGAAAATACAGAGGTCAAAAACATTCCATTAACTACATTTTTTATTTTAAGGGAGAACTATGGGGTCAGTGTTTTTCCCCATAGTTCTCCTTAGGGTAACGGGAGGACACAAACTAGTGTACTCCCGTTACCCTAAGCTCAGTATACCGCGAGCTACAGCTCGACGTAGATGACGGGATCCGCCCAGCTGCGTGAGTGACAGCTGGCTCTGTCTATCTAGAGGCAGAGCCAGCTGTACACGCCCCCTCCCCCGTCCGTTCCGCCAGTCAGCGCTGGCAGATCGGAGAGGGGAATCCAGCGCCTCCCCCTGTCACGGCAGAGAGCCGTGACAGGATCGAGAGGTGAGCGAACCTGGTATGTGTTCGCTCACCTCCCGATCTACTGAGCCGACCTGTGACAGTCTCATTGTCACAGGTCGGCTAGAACTATGAGGTGAGTGGAAATCACTCATCTCATAGTTCTCCTTTAACAATTATTTTTTTTAAAGATTTCCACCCAGTAACTTTAGTAAATTTACACGAGGAGGTCAGGCTGCTTTATAGGAGATTGCTGGGGAAATTCCTATGTGCCTCAGCTTCATCTAGTGGCGGGAATGCCATATGAGCAGCATTCGATGTGCAGAAGATATATAAGTCGGCCCCAAATTGTATCTCTAGGCAAAATCTTTTTTTGGTTTTTAGTTTGGGATAGAGTGGGTAAGGGCTAGACCCTACAAGTTTTATTGCTGTCAGTGTGCCCATTGGAAAGAAAGTAACAGAAAATCCAAAATTGTAGAGTTGTACCCACAATAAAAGGTAAAGGGAAATCCTCCAAAAACACCTATCTGGGGAAACAACATTCTAAGAGAGGAATTCCCTTCACTTTGGGAGCTATCCTCTCACCCGTGTCTATGGGACAGAATATGAAGGGACATTTCCCCAATGGTACACAGACTGCAAAAAATAACTTGGCAGGGTTCTAACACTTATCTGCATCTAAAACAAAAAAATTGTGGCTATACATATACTTTAATGGCCAGAGCAGGTGTGCAGACCCAGAAACTCAAGTACAAAGATATCAATCACCACTACAGACGGGCCCTGTCACAAGTATGCTCAGCTCGGCCAGGCAAGCATTCACATTTATGCCTGTACAAAGAAGAAGGGTGAGAAGAGGAGAGGTAAAGCTCACAGCAGCTGCACACCTCAATAAATGTAATTGGATATGTCTTATGACATGCAAATTCGTTTTTATTTTTAACCTCGGCATCCATGGAACAGTTTCTTTATGAAACTGTAAATGACAAACAATTTCAGCAGTGACTGAAAACAGTCGCATATGGAAATCTATTTTCACACACTTTTGTTTACCAAAATGTGTTTTCTACACTGCCCATCTCAGCATGTATGCAATTAGACTTGATGTGTAAATATAGCTGACTGTTGGATATGACACATACAGTACATTCAGCACAGTTGCTGGCAATACAAGCAGGTGCTGCTGCTACTTGTAAACCAATTTAGCTTTACCTCATTAGCTAGGTTTAGCAGGACAGGTGCTGTTGGGTCTGCTGCTATGTCATGTAAGTACCTGAAAGACAAGGTGACAAAAATTACAGGATTTAAACAGGCCATCTTGGACCATATGCTTATATAGGACAATTTCTTATATACATTACATGATCTACCAAAAAAAAAGTTAAATATCACATGCAATTAAAAAGGAAGTAAACAATGCAGTATTTTAAGTGGAACTACAACTTCTTATCCTTTACAGCCAAGGAAGGTGCCATCATAGCTTCCATTTGGATTGTAGTTGCCATGGTGCTGCCCAAGTGATCAGCTATGATACCAGCTATTTGAGGGCTTGAAAGTTAGGTTGGGAGCTGAAATAAGCACACTGGCATCCTTGACAGTTGGCATGCCTTAAAAGTAAATGTTTTGGGAGACATTCAATTGGTGAGTAAAGTTCCTCTTTAAAGGAAGTTGTAATCAGGTTGTTAATCTGCAACCGTCATGGCATAGCATTGTCGACAGGCAGTATTTTTATGACAGAACAGACTGTGTAAAGCTGGCCCTACACCTTACAACCATCGCACGACTTTTGTTGTGTGATGGTTGTAAGGTGATAAACATTTCGTACGACCTGCCCATCTTGGACAGGAAGACCGTACTTGCGATCATCGCAAGTCCTGCCCGCTGAGGGGAGGGCTTATAGATGATTGCAATGGTGAGCAGGCAGTGTGCGCCTGCGCACCTCGGCCCATGCGGCTTTCGTCGTGCAATTGCGCTACCAACCCGCCAAATATCGTACAATTTTCAGGGGGTTTTCTTGCGTGCTCGTAAGACAAAAGTGGTGCGACCTTAACGTATATGTGGTCGCACGCTGCCCATACACCTTACGATTATCATACGATTGCAGGATCACCCGCGATTATCGTACGATAATCGTCAGGTGTATGGGCAGCTTCTGCTTAAAGGAAATGTATTGTCTTTTCAATAATTAATTTTATATCTAAGGTGATTAGGACATACCACTATTTTAAACAGAGCACTACGTGGATGATATCCTATCTCCACAGCTGTTAAGCAGAGAGGATGAAAGAGACTGCGTCAAATACTTAGCTCCCTCTACTGGTGCAATACAAATCTCTACATTCAATGCCATTACAAATATATGAGAGAACAAGCATTTATAATTTAAAAGCACACACACACCTAACATGATATTTAGGGAAACACTGCAATAGCCTTAAAAGGTCTGCCCAGAAAAATTCACTGTTCTGTCTTAAAGGTTTCCCCCGGTAACTGATGACCTAGTAATAGGTAGAACCTGCTAGGAGAAGTCACTTGGAGGCTTCTAATTCACCTCAGAGGCTTCTAATGAAGGCTAAGAGATGTCCCTTTTGTGATATTTGGCCCCGTTCCTGCCCACTGTGAAGTTACCAGGTTTCCACCCAGCTTTACATGTTCTCACAGGGTGCAACCAGCATTTATATTAAGGGGGTCATTTACATCTTTGTGGTGGGTTAATGCAAGCGTGTTAACATTCGTTGCATTACAGCACATTGCACTAAAATGAATGCCAAAGCACCCTTACCTGCCTAAAATCACACAACTCTTTTTTCCAATGCAAATATTTGCATAGTCTGGCACACTCTATACAGCCAAAGACCATGTATTGTGGTGCGTTACACAGCAGCTGCATTGCCTCAGTACATTTGGGTGCCAATACAAATAAATGACACTACAGCACATTATGTACATTGCACCAAAACTGTGAACCTGGTCTAAGTGTTTTTGAAAAAAAGGTTAGCTCCTTCAGAAATATTGCCACAGAAAGACAAATATATTACCATTCGTAGTAAAATTCCACAGTGTCTGGAGCATGATGCCTTGCGTGAGTCCTTTTAATAAGCTTCTGCATTGAGAGATAAACAGCAATATATTTAAACAGAAGAAACATAAAAGTATTACTATTTGTAATTGGACTATTTTGTTAAGTTTACAGGATTTGGTTGCAATTTTCTATTTTTATCTCTATTGTTTCTATCATGAAAAAATGTCAATCATTTAAAGAAAAGCGTTGACACAAAAATTGGTACATTTGAGTTTCCATTTATAAATAAGCAACATGACCTTATTTCGGCCATACTGTTCCTTTAAAGTGAAAATGAACTCTTTAAAAAAAAATAAAAAATTGTCGACAGGCAGTATTTTTATGACAGAACAGACTGTGTAAAGCTGGCCCTACACCTTACAACCATCGCACGACTTTTGTTGTGTGATGGTTGTAAGGTGATAAACATTTCGTACGACCTGCCCATCTTGGACAGGAAGACCGTACTTGCGATCATCGCAAGTCCTGCCCGCTGAGGGGAGGGCTTATAGATGATTGCAATGGTGAGCAGGCAGTGTGCGCCTGCGCACCTCGGCCCATGCGGCTTTCGTCGTGCAATTGCGCTACCAACACGCCAAATATCGTACAATTTTCAGGGGGTTTTCTTGCGTGCTCGTAAGACAAAAGTGGTGCGACCTTAACGTATATGTGGTCGCACGCTGCCCATACACCTTACGATTATCATACGATTGCAGGATCACCCGCGATTATCGTACGATAATCGTCAGGTGTATGGGCAGCTCAAGTCTCTTCTGCCATAGAAGCTTCTTCCTGCCTGTCAGCAATTTTTTCTTTCTGTACACTCAGCCACGCGTGCGCATCTCAGTGTACAGGCTTGGCAGGATTTTAGCACATTCTGTACACGTTTGGGAGTTGCGTCATTGGGGCCTAGCCAATTAAGATGCCAAAGACTAATAGCTCAGAAAAAGACATGGACGAAGATGGGAGTGTCGGCAAAGGGAGGAGAGCCCGGACATCAAAAAGATGGAAGGGGATTGCTTTGGCGGTTAAGACTGCCATGATGTGTTAATATATTGTGCATACTAGCGCATTACGGCTAAAAGCTCCTGCTCCCCCCTTTATTTCCACTTATGAAAACAAGTACCATACATTTATAAAGCACAGTGCTATGCTTTACCAATGTGGGCCGGTTCCACTTGCGTAGGGATTCTGCTCTCCATTTTAAATTGGCCTCTAAGTATCCTAAATTTCTTCACTACACTTGCAAGATGGTTGCCAAGCCCCAAGAGATTTTAATTTTTGTAAGTTGTTTTAACCTTTGTGCCTCGTACACACAAGCTTCTACTTGTAAAAGCAGTGCAAGCATTTCAGGAAGTTTCAGGCAGCTTTCTCCTCTAGCTGGATATGTGCTTTCAGTACAAACTATCACTACTTAAAACTTGTTGAATGCCTACTGAAAGCAGTGCTTTTTTTTTTCTTTTTTCTTTTAATGCAAACACTCCAAAACATGAATGGCAAATTAAAAACAGTGCATGTATGTATTCTTGCAAAACAATGAGCTTCATCATTTATAAAACTATACACCATGAGGATGCTAATCGCACGGCAATAGCACCCCTAGATGGCGCTGAATATTGGAAATTTTACAAATGAAACCCAAGGTGTTTTGTAGCTTTTTTTAATAGGTGTCTGGGCAGAAAGAACTAGGATGATCTCTTGGCTTGAAGGGGACCTTTGCCCCCTTTCAATAAAAATCACATCAGCATGCAGCTCTGCATGCTGATTTCAAATCTTACATTCATTAGTTAAGCAAACTTGTTTTTTACTTACTTACAAATAGAGTTCATCTACTTCCTGGTCCACTTCTGGCACAAATGATGTAATGTGCCAAAGCGTTGCATCCTGGGAAGGTTACATCAGCAGAGTATTGCTGGGAAATGTCATCTGTAATCTCACCACAAGATCTCAGAGAAAGGCATTTTCCTTCCCTGACATGATGTGCATGGTCACATGTCCTACTCACATGTGCTAGAGTTCCAGGAAGAAAAGGGAGTTCTAGTAACCTGCGATTCGAGTGTTTGCATTTCAAAAATATACTCAGCACATGCGAGCACATTGTGTAAAGTGACAGCTAGCATTTCCATTAAGATCTGTATTTAAAAGTCCAAAGTTGTAGCAATAGTGTTTTAAAGGTCTCAGCAAAGCTGCCTGAACTTTACTGCATTCATTAACAAAGTATTTGCAGAGCTTTCAGCAAAAAATGATGAAGCCTGTGTGTAAAAGGCCTTAAAGTGAGCCTGTACTTTACTAATGAGTAAACAAATGGAAAGTTATTTTTTTTCCTTTTGGATAGATTAGGGAGGGTTTAGAACTCATGTCACTTTTATGCAGGATCTTGCTGGCAGAAAGCGGTCGGTAAGATCTTGGGTAAAAACTGGTCCGTAGTGCATCTCAACCCATAAGGACTATCCATGCGCTTATGTACATATGAGCCAAGATGCATACAGGCAGCTTGTACTTCATTTCCCCTTGAATTACTGGAATGAGTCAATCACTAGTCAGTTGCAGCAATGCATTCGCAGAATCACCTTGGCCTTCAATCATGAAGGACTGAAGTTATTCTGCGCCTGCGCCTAAGACACTGACTTAGTGAATGACTCATTTGAGCATTAACAATCAGTAGGTGGCTGTGCAGATGCAGAATAACCTGACTGAAGGACGAGGTCATTCGGTTCCTTCATTGATGTTGCTATCTGCAAATTGTTTATGTTTACATCTCCCCCACAAGTAGGCAGCTGTGGCCTTGTCTATTTACACAATACACATGTAAATGTTCTCATGAAAATTTACACACATACTGCTTAACTTACTGTCAAAATTGGACTGTGGGCAACGTATTTTATGCATGTGTGCATGAGCCCTTAGAGAGATTTCCCCTTACCCACTGTCCAGCGGACAGCCTTTCTGCTAGATGAGTGAGGGGTACTCTCCAAAAGCCTTACAGATGAAAGTTAAATCACATTATTTCAGTTAAGTAGGGGAATGCTAGAACCTCTGTTAGCGTTTTATTGTCTTTTTCCCTGTTGTAGAGCTCCCTCACTTCTGGTCTTATAAAACGTTGTCCCCGGAACAGAACATGAGAGGAAATCTCAGTAACAGAGCTGAGGATAGAAGTAAAACCTGGCAATGGTTCTAAACCTTCCCCACTCTATCCAAAAACTAAAAACAAGTGTTGGCTATAGATACACTAAGTAGCGGGGGGAGAGCAAGTAATCACACGGACCTTTAAAGGAGAACTATGGGGTCAGTGTTTTCCCCATAGTTCTCCTTAGGGTAACGGGAGGACACAAACTAGCGTCCTCCCGTTACCCTAAGCTCAGTATAACGCGAGCTACAGCTCGCGGTATACTGAGACGCCGCAGCGGATCCCGAATTAGATGACGGGATCCGCCCAGCTGCGTGTGTGACAGCTGGCTCTGCCTATCTAGAGGCAGAGCCAGCTGTAACCGCCCCCTCTTCGTCCGTTCCGCCAGTCAGCTCTGGCAGATCGGAGCGGGGAGAGGGGAATCCAGCCCCTCCCCCTGTCACGGCAGAGAGCCGTGACAGGATCGAGAGGTGAGCGAACCCAGTATGTGTTCGCTCACCTCTCGATCTACTGAGCCGACCTGTAACAGTCTCATTGTCACAGGTCGGCTAGAACTATGAGGTGAGTGAAAGGCACGCACCTCATAGTTCTCCTTTACGTTTGCTGTGCATGAGCAATGTACAGGTTCACTATAAGGGCTCATTCACACTGGAATCGGCCCGCACGTACAGCTCCGTGCAGGGCCGTATCTGGCAGCTCCCGGGAAGGAAAGGTGCTGCGTGTGATTAGTATGCAGCGCCCATCCTTCTCTATGGGACTACGCGGCCGTACGCCCCCCTACGCTCACCATATGGGTGCGGGCGAGCGTACTCATACGCTGACAGGATGGATCCTGTGTGCATCCGAGCCAGGAAACATGCAACTGCACTTGAGGTGAGCGTAGGGGGGAGTACGGCCGCGTAGTCCCATAGAGAAGGACTGGGGGTTGCGTACTAATCACACACAGCACCTGTCCTTCCCGGGAGCTGCCCGATACAGCCGTGCACGCAGCACAGAGCTGTACGTATGGGCCGATTTCAGTGTGAATGAGGCCTAAGATGACATAAAAGATGTATTCTGGAAACTAACCAACCCTGCTTTGGAGGCCAACTCCACACAAAATACATTTACATTTTTGATGCATTTGGTAAATTTAAATACCCAATGGGGTCTCAAAAACTCTAGCTCAAAAAGCAAAATAAAAAAGTGACACTGCATTGCAGATGGGTTCACAAGTTGGTTGTTCATTCAAAAACATCGAAAACCTTACTGAAATGCATGACATTGTGTGGCTTAGTAATGGAGCAATTGGGTAGAGACATTGTATAAGAAACCAGAACGTAAAACAGATTGTTAGCTATCAAGAAAAACTGAATATCAGTTTTAGGTGGAGTTGACATGAAAGAACATAGCAAAAAGACATAGATAGATATTTAGGACTGCTGTACATTCTTAATTATAAATCTGCTTTAAGATTTAGAATCTTACCAGTTGTCTCACATAATTAATTTGACGGTGGCTATGTCACAGAAAACACCTCGTTATAAATATATTCCCATTGAAGCAGGTTAGATAATTTGTGATGGGGGCAAGTTAAAGGAGAACTATGGGGTCAGGGCTTTTCCCCATAGTTCTCCTTAGTGTAACGGGAGGACACAAACTAGCGTCCTCCCGTCACCCTAGGCTCAGTATACCGCGAGCTACAGCTCGCGGTATACCGAGACGCCACAGCCGGAGCGGATCCCGACATCGATGTCGAGATCCGCCCAGCTGCGTGAGTGACAGCTGGCTCTGCCTATCTAGAGGCAGAGCCAGCTGTACCCGCCCCTCCCCCGTCCGTTCCGCCAGTCAGCGCTGGTGGATCGGAGCGGGGGGGGGGGGAATCCAGCCCCTCCCCTGTCACGGCAGAGAGCCGTGACAGGATCGAGAAGTGAACGAACACCGGTATGTGTTCGCTCACTTCCCAATCTACTGAGCCGACCTGTGACAGTCTCATTGTCACAGGTCGGCTAGAACTATGAGGTGAGTGAAAAGCACTCACCTCATAGTTCTCCTTTAAAAGGGCTCAAATATTCTTTCAGTGGTAATCCTTTATGGGCATTTAATGATCTGGAATTCTACTGAATGCACCGTCAGTTTATTAGCAATTTGTAAAAAATATTCCTGCTTGATTAGTCATATGCAGGTCTTCAGTAACCTACAAAGGCCTTTAATTTTGGACACATTGTATATCTTATATGCTGAACGTCTGCCCCACATTAAAGGAGAACTATGGGGTCAGTGTTTTTCCCCATAGTTCTCCTTGGGGTAACGGGAGGACACAAACTAGCGTCCTCCCGTTACCCTAAGCTCAGTAGAGAGCCGTGACAGGATCGAGAGGTGAGGGAACCCGGTATGTGTTCCCTCACCTCCCGATCTACTGAGCCGACCTGTGACAGTCTCATTGTCACAAGTCGGCTTAGAACTATGAGGTGAGTGGAAATCACTCATGTCATAGTTCTCCTTTAAGTAGCAACAGACAGGATAGATTTACCAACGGCATCAGAAAAAAATACCACTAAGGCTAAATTTGTTCATTTCAAGTGTAACGTTCATTTCCCTGTCAGTTCCTTTCCCATTTGGCCCCTCCGTGTTCTGCTGCAAAATTCTGAAGAGCAAGGGAGTAATGTTCTTTTAAATTTAAAAATATATGTGTGTGGGTGTATATATTTAGAACCAAAAGATCAAAAATGGAATGGAATGGGGGAAAAAAAAAAAAAAAA